ATCCCTCAGCCACCAGCCAGGCGCCTGCCCACCCCTCAGCAGCCAAGTTCAGGTGGTGGCTCTCCCTGCTGTGGAGCTGCAGCAGCCTAACATTAACCTTAAGGCCTTTGAGAGGAACTACTCCCCCTATTCCCCCCCAAAAAACCCACCCAAATACACCAGAAGCTCCCGAGAGGTTTAGCTACCCCACCTTCCTTGTCCTGGGATAAGCCATTTAGAACCACACATTCAGGACACTCCAAACAATGAACCCTTTGATCACCTGGAACTAGGCCTTGTACAGCACGAAAAGGAAAACCAGCCGTCATCCACTTCTCTTTCTCTGCAGAGAGACACTACTTTTAAACAGCAGATGCAAATCCTAAAGTTAATTCCTGTTTGGTGCTAGCTCTGGGGAGGTGGGGGCAGTAAGAGAAGGGCAGGGGAAAGCACAAAGCTCAGGCTTCTCTGAGGATACCAGCTTTGCACCAACAACCTCTAACCACAAAATATCATGGAGGCATTATTTTTAGAAATATAATTTCTCACAACTAAGCTGGAAGAAGCAAACACAGGAGAGAAGCAGAAGGACGCAGAGATGGTACGCCGTAATGAAACCACGACCTGTGGCAGCAGAGGAAACAAGGACAACTTCTGCCTCAGGATACCAAGCCAGGTATCCAGCACAACACTACCACTTCATCACCCAAGCAGAGAAGTTTAAATCAGTCAAATTTCTAGTCAAAACAGAAGTTCTTCCCAACTAAGACAAGCAGAAAAGTCTACACATCACTGAGGTCTGAAGATATTTTCTTCCCTCAAGAGCAGGAGAATCCACCCACCAACGTAAGCAGAAAGACAAAGGGACAGTACCCATCCTCTAAAGTACTCACAAATAAAATAGCTGTTCCCTCCTACCTCAGGCATTGACTTTGTGGTCTCCAAATTCCCAGCTCCTTGCTTCTGTGACCGCAAAACTCCTCCAAGCTGATGGCTGGCTGTTCCCAGCCTCTCAAGCAGGAGTCCTAATGAGTGCCACCAGATTATCTCCTCCCAGGCAGGTGCAGTTCCCTCAGGCCGCAGCTGTGAGAAACAATGGGGGCTGAGCCTCGCTCACTCAATTCACCTGTGCTGGAAAAGCCAGCCAAGGAGTAAGGAGCAGAGGCAGCCAGCCCAGCTCCCTGAGAGCTGTGGCTACAGTAGGGTTGACATCTGCAGGGTGAAGGAGGCTGCTTGTCCCCCTTCCCTTCCAAGGGGGACAAGAAAAGGACGGCAGACTACCGCTGGTGGTACCTGCCATGCTGCCAGAGCCAGTTCACCTGGAGAACTGGAGTCATCATGTCACAAGTTTCACCTGGAAGCAGTTGTATCAGGCACAGCAGGTGGGCATAGTCATAGTGTGGGCAAGTCTTGCTCAGCTGCAGGAGAAAAGGGGGGTTGGGAGCAGTTTTCTTAATGACTAATTTCAGTCAGATTCTCTTCTTCTTTTCTTTTTTTAAATCTCGCTTAAAAAGAAATGATGATATCTTAAGTGTTTCTCAGCATCTTGACAGGACCAGATAATGCGTTGGATTTGGAGTATGAGCTTCTAGCAATGCTTTTTCATTCTGTGGAGTCAAACAGTGTTTGAAGGAGGTGGAAACTCAAATGTTTTCATGTTTGAAAGCTGACAAGTTTTGGGGTTTTTTTTCAGTTTCTGATATAGATATTATGAAAAAGTAGAGAGAAGATTTGAAAAGATTTGAAAGCAATGCAGTGAATCTTAAGAAATGTCGTTTCCCTTACACTCTTCTTATAAAACCTTTTGTTCAACACCTCAACAGAGTCTCCCAGTGTAGGGAAAATGTGATTTTACTCCGACTTCTGAGGCTTCAAGTGTTTTAGACTTAGGGGCAAAAATCACTCTCACTGGCAGTTTACAGGGCGAGCACCAATTTCATCTGTAACACCCACATCAACTCCATCTCCCTTCCCACCTGCCAGAGGATGCTCCTCAAACCACGCCTCCATCTCCCCACCTGCCAGAGGATGCTCCTCAAACCACTCAACTACAGCCCCAAAGGCCAACCCACTGGCTGTAGAAAAGTTTGGGTTGGTGGTGCTGGGGCCCTCCTCTGTGTTTTGGCACCTCCCTTTTTATTTGACTTGACCCAACCACCCCCCAGTCCCTTTCTAACTTTCACCCTCAGAGGACCTCACTTGTCTCATGTTCCTCTTCCACCAGGTTGAAGGAACAGAAAACCCCAAACCGTAAGTAGCACAGTGGGAAACAAAGCACACACCTCTCTTTATAGATACATTATATCTATATATATCTATATCTTTCCTTAACAAAAGCATCCTGCCACTTTACAGTACAGATTTTGATTCACATGCCACCTCTACGAGCTCTACTTTATTTCATGCTTGTTTTAAAAAAATAAGTGCTTAACTTTTGGCAAGGGCAGCTACAAAGTGACTCTTGGTGTTCCTTGTCTTCCTCTCTGAACAGACAGGAGGAAATCAGACCGTGCTGAAGAGGAAACAACATTTTGGCCAAGGCCCACTGTTCATCCAGTCCCACTGGAAGTTGTTGCGGGGTCAATACTGCTTAGGTATTATGTTATTTATGCCTTATTGCATGCTATTTTTGCCTTTTGCAAGCACCAGCCAAAGTTTCCCCTTCCTGTGAAAGTCAATTTCTTCAAAGTAGGAGAGGAAGGGGAAGGATTTTGAAGCGGATCCCAAGTGGACATTATCCTTCCACATCATCCAATTTTAGGCTAATTCTTAAGCTGCCTCTTCCATTAAGGCTGACTCAGACAGGATCTCAGATATTTTTGTATCGTGCTCTGGAGGGCAGTTTTTCTCCAGTCTCAGCCTGGAGAGCCTACAGGACTGGAGCCAGTAAAACCACTGAGGCCAAATGTGTAAAGTGCAGTGGTTTGAAGACACAGTTGATGTTTTTTTGCACACCTGGAAGCCTGGAACAGGACAGGACCGCTCTCCTGGAAATCACCAGGGGTAAGGCTGTAACTTGTGTGTTCAGGAGAGGAGTTTAGCCTTGGATAAAACTTTTTCATGTTTTATTTTGGAGCATGGAAAAAAGAAATGCCTCCAAAAATGATTCTCCAGAGGGAGGTTGGATTAGGAGCTTGTCTTCACCCAGTGTACAGGCATTATCAGCACCAGCACAAAGGCTGGGCTCCAGAAGATGGGAGTGAGCATCCAAGCAAACAAATCTTACAGAAGAGAGACCTGACATTGGTTTTTACTAATCAGGGAGTCCACGGTATAAATAATACACATAAAACCTGTGCCTTTGAAAAATCTATTAACCATAATCATGAATCTACACATTCTTGACATACAGAACTGTAAATCATTTTATAAAGAAACAGATTGCTTCTAGTTTATACCAAACAAGAGATTTTGAAACCTTTTTAGGATGAGAGACAGGAAGCTTTCGACTAATAAAACCTATGTTTTCAATTACATTTCAGTCCCACCGAGGACAAGGAAAAAGTAAATTAGGGATTCATTTATAAAGTCGCAAATATTAGAGCAGGTGACTGCAAGAAAAATATGAACATTTAAAGGCATTCCTGGTAACCACACAGGTTGTTGGAAGTCTGCCTACTGTTCCAAAATGTCCCTTTGTTTAAATCAGATGTTCCCTGCACTGCAGCTAGTACTAAAGACCTTTGAAATTTTTGATATCACGTGTTGTAATAAAGGCTTGTACTTTTTTTCTTCAATTTTCCAGATCCCCTACACTTCCTTATGACCCACAAAGCTCCCGTCAGTTTTAGGCTGCTATTTCCATTTTACTTCAGAGCTTCAAGCATTCTGAGCTTGGCTCAGCAAAGCACCAAAGTATACATTTAACTTTAAAAGATACGTCATCCTTTTTATGAGGTTAGCTATTACTAGATTTAGCTACATTTTTCTTTTATAATTACAGCAAATTTCAGCTACGGTCAATAGTACTTTTTCCATCACTAACAATATAACAAGATTAGATTATTATATATGCACATTATTTGTGTGTGACGTACATGTGAACACAGAGCAAATGCAGTTACAGTGTTCACACACGTGCCTATAAGTTAATGCACACAAATACACACATGCACAATAATCTAAAGAGAGTGGATGGCTTCACTGTCTGTTGCTGTGTCTAAAGCATTTCTTTTGATTAAAATTTAGATTGAAGGCTATCAGCCACGCAAACCAATACATCCTTGAGCTACATCCCATTAAATCATTCTGATTGCTACTACTTAATAAATACACCCTTCCTCAAGATACTTCATTTTGTACTTACATTTATTATCTAACAGTTATTTTAATGTACCTTTGGGATAATCAATCAAAATACCCAAGCAACAATCCTTTCCCCATGTTTTCAAGTAATCAAAATACTTATTCTTCTGCATGCAGGTTTATTTTGCTTTAGTTTTGATGAGACTGAGCGGGGATTATATATTTTCCTTATTTTCACCCATTTCTTTCTGGAAACTAACTTTATTTTGTCTCTGATATGTCAAAGCACCGAAGCATTAGATAAAGTTTAATGAAAACTGCAGTCTTATGGGATTTAAGCATATGCTTTAATGCTTTGCTGAAATGAGGAATCTAGACATCTAGAAGTTTTGGTAGTTTTCTCAAGCATTACCAGTGAACGGGTAAAACTCACGTTATTTGCTGAGTATCGGCTGAACAGTATATACATATGGATAATCCATCCCAACCCAAACGATGACATTAAAAACCTGTGGCCAGTTTAACTGTGCTGTTATTCTTAGATTTGTAACTTAGATTTATAACTATGTAACAGCTAAATTGTCACCATATTTTCTTTTTTTTTTTCCTTTTCTTTCACAGTTGCACTATGAAAACTACCAAATCTGATTTTTATTTTTTAAAGCTCTAGTTATGGGAGAATCCTATCAGCTGCAAAATCACCAGGTTTATAAAGTCAGTCACCCAAAGATAGACTTAACATCAAACGAGCCTCAAGATGAGACAAAACACAGGAATATCTGTATGCCAGTTCTCTTTAATAGCAAATTATTTTTAAAAATAAAACCAAACCAAGAAAACAAGTCTTAAAAAAACCTCAGAACTGTTGCATACAAGCTTAATAAAATAACATTATCTAAGCTTAACAAAATAACGTATTTCTCATATAAAACTGAGTTAAGGCATCACACACAGCAAATCCAGACAGAAAATCTATTAGCAAGGCCACCCGTATGCTTCTTGTTTCATTTCAACTTTAACATCATAAAAAAAAATTATGCACTAACTAGTTTCTCTATATAAAAGAATCTGATACAAAATTCATGTTGTCAGTTTTGTAAGGTGAAACATCTCTATTTCCAAAAAGTCTGATTTTTTTATTCTGAAGAAATATATCCTGTCTTTCTTACAAGAAAACAGAGGGGGAACCATTTTAAAGACTGAGTAACACTCACAGGGATTTCATGTTCCCACGAAAGAAAATGTTCATATTACACTTCTCTAGAAATTAGTTTAGGCTTTTAAATTACTCTTATTGATACCTGCAAGTCTTTTAAGTATGAAAGACACCAAATATTTGGGGAAAAGGGAAGAAATGACAGAAATTGTTGGTACACAGAAGCTATAAACAGAAACCAAAGAGAGAAAAGTATCACCATAAAAATCCATCAATTTCTCCTAAGTATTTTTTTTCTAGGTGCAACATTTTGAGGCAAACGTTTTCCAAATTAAATACCTCCATCAGATATTTTCGGGTGTCAATTTAACTTCAAACTTTCGAGGATGAAGAACATCTCAGAGGTTGTTCAAAGTCTTAATCCACAAAAGATGACAGCAAGTAGAGTCCTGTATTTGGTACACCATTAACTTCTGGCGAAGAGCCTGTTCATAGTAACGTCAATACAAGATTACTGTCATTTGTCTTGATTCAGCAACACGTTTAAGCCTATGCTTACCAGTAAGTATATAAGTTATTTAGCTCTAAGTGAGCAAAGACACAGCATTAGTGATTTTCCTTGGTCAGCTTTGCACAGCAGGTTCAGTGGGTAAATTCCCCTAAGCTCCCTGAGGAGACAGAGCTGCCTTCTCTGGCTGGTTAAAGTGTTGTCTGAGGGCTCACAATGCTCTGTGTATATTATTCCAGTGCAGGATTAACTAGAAAGGTACCTAAAGAATTTCTGTGTCTCATTTTTCCTCAGTAGCACATGCTGTTATTTTATTCATCCTGTTGGGGGGTGTGTGTGTGCATGTTTAATTTTTACTTCTGCTTAACTTTATGTGTCTTCTTAAACCCCAGTGAAATCAAAGATATTTGAGCATAGGCTTAATTGCTGTCTCAAATAAAAGAAGCATACATACTTGCTTAAGAGCTTGGCTAAGTTAGGAGCTTGTTTTGAACTGATGACAAACATAACATTCCCTCAGACCTTTGTCAGACAGTTCAACAAAGGACACACGAATCATAGACAATTCAGAAGATGCCACAGGGCAAACTGTTCTGACCCTGTTCCTATGGTTTTTAACATTATGTTTTTTGTACTTACATTGCCAATACTCAGACACATGCTGAAGGATCTTCAGGTATTTCTGCTCCATTGGAAAAATATGTTCAATAGTTAGCAGAAAAAGTGAAGATGTTTGTACGAGTTTCAATCATGACAAGTGGTTCTTCACATTCCTCAAACATCGCCTCAAGTTCAATTTGTTCATAAATGTAATTTTTGTCTTAATGGCATGAAGTCAACAAAAACTACATTTACTTTCTCAAAGTAATAATTTACCAGCATCAACGATAAGGAAACCCACTATTTCTTTTGTATAATTAATGCAATTATTCTCAGGGCTGTATTTCTATTAACTACAAATTATTCCCATTACTAAGAGAGAAACGATAAGAGCAATGGAATCGGTGTCATTAAGAGAACTAATACAGTGGATCGATGCCTTATTTACTACTGCAAATTAAGCCACAGCCTGGCAGGAACCAGTTTGCTCAAAAAGACAGTGACACACTTCCAACCATTAAGGTTATAGAAAGGATTCATAAATGCAGCAATTGTTGCCGACTTTTACAAAAAACTTACAGGCTCATCCTAATATTTCGTATTAAAGTGGCTCCACTGACAGCAAGGTTTCATGGCAATTTCAGTCCGAAGCCAGGCTTGTTCATTTTTTTTTCATTAATAAATTAAATTTCACCTAGACTGAATTACAAAACCATCCAAACTCAACTTTTGAAACTAATTTGCTACACACTGTTTTTCCACTATGACAACAGTTCACTCTTTAGTGAATTGGTGCAGGACAATTGACAAAACTTCTTGCTGTAAATGGGAACAAACTGCAGCGTTGTAGCCTGTCTACATACATTCATAGTGCTAAATAAGTGCTAGTTATGAATGTAAAAACTAACAATTCTAACAAATATATTGAAAATCCACTATTTAGTAACATTAGGACTGACACCTCATTATAGTACATTTTTTGTGTGTGGGCATAAGTCCATTAAGTGAGGAACATATTCTATCTTAATATTATGCCTGGAAGTCATATATATTTTGTGGAATTTTAAAGGAAAAACTACATATGTCCTCATTAAAAGTCAAAAATTGTTTCTCTTTTCTGAACAAATCTTCATTCAAACATAGTTTTGACATTAAATTTGTGGGGTTTTTTTTTCTTTTTCTGGAACAGTGTAATTTTTTTGATAACTCAATTACTGCTAACCTTCTTATACCACAGAATAGTTCATTTATTTCTAATACTACTATACAGTACTCTTGTATTTCCCCCCCTCAAATGCCATCAGAAAATATCACCTCATAAAAATAATTTTATGTTTTTCTAGTAGCTATTAATGTTTGTTTTCTGTATCAGTCCATATGGCATTATCATCTCCAGACTCATTATGTGGGTACTCAACCTATCTTCTCATTATAAGTTATCAATCACAAAAAATAATATGCTTTATCTTTAAAGTATTATAATCTTTCATTTTCTGCTCATTACATTTTTTATATCTATGCAACTGCAGCATAGTCATTGCTCTGGTCATTTTTTTTGTCACTTTCCTGCGGGCTGGTGATTGTCACCCTTGGATTTGTGGATGTTTTTTCAAGATGGGAATCAACCTAGAGAAAAAGGACAGGGACTGTTAATTTCAACAGGTAAGAAAGATCTCACTTCATTTCAATGCAGTGTTAGCACTTCATACTACGATTTCCACAAGGTATTCTTAATGTAGAAAAAATGTTTTCTGAGAGTGTTCACGTTAACATTTTTATTTATCTTATACTTATATACCTTCCAAAGGGGAAAGTACTCAAATTAGAGGTTCCCCCAAGTTATTTCATGAAACATCCAGTTACCCACATATCCATTTAAAGTCAACGCTCACTCAATTTTTCTACTTCCATAAATAACTTCAGCCTTTCTAGAAACAAACAGAAGAAATCAATATAACAAGCACAGGATAAATTCAAGGCCCAAGAAAATGCCATGTAACTCAGCTGTCTTAATTGAGAAATGTTTTCATATGCCATACAAAACCAGAAGAAAGGCCAGTGGCAGGATGCAACAGTGTCACGAGAAGCAGAGGAGGAGTTGTTTTTCAGCAGCCTGTAGGCAGCAAGTTGTTCTGCTTCTGATGCTCAAGAATCCTGCTCTTCCCAGATCTGGATTTTCCCCATCAAAAAACCCACTTTGTTTCCCAAATTCTCTTTGCTGGTCAGTTCATATGACAGCCTGGGTAGTCCACTTTATTTTTCTGGGCTGCATGCCTCAATCTAAGCCAACAGCATGTTACCATGTCTCCTAAATTAATGGCATATTTGCTTTTAAACCGACGAAAGTCCCTTGCTTTGATTATCTTATTTATCTCCACTGTCTTTTCCAATTTCTAAGAAAAGGAGATGAAACTTCCACAAAGCAATAGCAAGAGCCTTTTATGAAATGCAACTTCTGTGCAAGTCAACTCATCAAAATAATGAGGCACTGTGGTTTCATGAACACACCCTTCTGCTCTGTCCTGAAGGACAATTTAGTGTGGAAATATGTAATGATTATGCTTTTCTGGAAATTGCAATAATTTTTTAATTACTGTTTTTCAAAATTCAGCATACTCAGGAAAGCAGGAGACAGAGATTCATCAAACAGCAAGAAAGATCTGTTTTCTCTGTTGGAGGGCGTATAATGTAATTACTGATGTAACTGATCTATACAGACAGAAAAAAGCTTTTCCCACAAACTGAAGTTCTCATAAATGCTCTCAGAACCTTATCAGGAGTGAGCTACTTAGAAACTAGCTGAGAAGCCTAAGGCTGAGATGAATGAGGAACAGTAACTTAAAAACAAACAACTGAAAGAATAAACACTCACTTGTTTCTGACTGTCAAAATCCTCTTCTTTTATTTCTTCTTCAGGCTGAAGATCACCTTGGTAGTTCAAGTGCTCCATTCCCTCACCATTTTCTTCATCTTTCTTGCCATTTAAATGGATAAGCTCCTCTTCTGCTTGGTCAACATTCCCTGTTTCTTCTGCTTCATCTTCATCATTCTCATTTAATTTCTTCTTGCTTCCTTCTACTAAGCTTCTTTCTTTAACAGTTTCCCCACTTTCCTCTCCATTCATGCGTGGATAATCTTCCTCTCCTTTATATGCCTCCTCTCCCCTGTCAGTTTCCTCTTCTGCATTTTCTTCTTCATCTACAGTTTCTGCTGGCCTCTGGTGAAAGGAAAAGCAGCAGCATTATGAGGCATGTTTAATCAGAATGCTCCACGTAATTCTGAAACGTGACATCAAAATCACACTTACATCATTACTGGGGAATAAGTATGCTAATTTGAGGTTTGTCTACATGGACAGAAAATTATGCTCTGATACTAACAAAATGAACTCTTATTCTACATAAAACTATGTGTCAGTGAGATTTAAATGTATTACACCAGGTTAATCCATTTGACCACCCTCAAAACAAATGGAATGAGCTAGATTTAATCAACACAGCAACTAATAGCTATTTTGTTCCAGCTATTCCAGGTTCTCCAACATTCTAGCATTTAGTATGTACCTGTTTATGAAATCCTGTCAGAATAAAATATCATACATTACGAGCTCACAAACTGTTCCCCAAGAAGTATTTTACCTGTGGACCAGGCCATGTCACGCCAGTCGGTCCTTTTGTGCAGCCTGTCTTCTTTACAACCTCAGAAAAGCAGCAAGAGAGATGAGGTAGACCTACTGGACACTTCCATAAGGTGTCCCCTCCCAATGACCCCTCTGTAGGGTGGCCTGGTTAGGATTTGTTTGACGTTTAGCAATTGATTTTTCCCACACAGAGTCAGACAAGCAGACAGGAGGAACAGGATCTTGAAGAACATATTGAAGAACAGTGAGCAGAAACTCACTACAGATAAAGCTGCTGGCGGCATCATTTCGTGACAACCCGGAAGACCGATGCACATACTATCTAGTTTTTGTCATTTTTCTTCCAGTTTCAGCTTTGAAGATTCACCTGACTATTCAGTGAACCGATGCCCCTGCTGCCAAAGATGACTTATGTGCTTCTGCTAAGGTTTGAATGAAAATAAAGAGAAAAAAAAATTCCACAGGACTGACGGGGTTTTCTGCCTCCCACACAGCCTCATCAGACTCTAAATCTAATGCAAACAAGCTGAGAGCAACAGATTAGCTCTTAATCAAAAGTGTTTGGAATTTTACTATCATTAGCAGCTACTTTATGCAGGGAGCTATCTGCTACAGACCTGTAACTTACTTATGTCTTCTAAAAATCTCTTTCCCTCACTAATACTAACATTTCAAAAGAATTCTGTCATCACCTTCAACATATTAGTAAAAGCCAGTTTAGCAATACCAATGATTGATTGAAGCCTCTTGATGAAACACCTTGCTTTTGCTTTGATATCTAAGTAGCAACATAAAACAACTTTATTATGCCAGTGCACAATACTGCATTGACGCAGCTTCAAAAAGGACAAGTTACTGTGTTGTGACAATCCACAGAATGACAAATCACTAGAAATATTACATGGTTATCTGACCAGATAAATAATGGCTCCAGAAGTGATTCCTGAAGTATAGTAGTCTCTGTGTGTTTTTTATTCAAGCCTTCCTAACTCTCTTTCATCTGGTACCATCAAACTGGCCTTATTACCACCAAAATTAAAATTAAATAAGCCAAGTCTTTACAGACACCTTCAAAGAAGGCACCATCCAAAAGCAAACTGGAGCCAACTTTGGTAACCTCCAGCACATAAAGACAGCAAAGAATCTGTAGATCTACAAATTCTCAGAAGTCACCTGCTAAGTCTTACACGTGTGACCTACTCATTTGTTCTCAGTCTGCTAAGGAAAGTAGCAGCTCTGGATTCTGACCTGAAACAGGGGAGAGTGGGTCAAATTAAATGCACCAGAGTAAGCAGTTTTGGTTTTGCTTAATGACACCTGCTTGCTATGACATTATGAACACCAAATGAAGAGAGGGTAAGAAAAGAAGAAAAGTAAACCCAGACTTTCTCAATTAACCATATTATTATTTCCAGGTTTTTTTACTGCCTGATAGCAGGTACAATCAGAAGAGAATATCTGCCCTTGCCTGAACTGCTTTAGGATGGTGGCTCATTTTGGACTGCAGAAGATGGTGTGTAGACTTTATACCACAGTGTAAGCGTGTGTATCCCAAAGCACATGTTTTTACTGGTTTCATTGCTGTGAAAGTAGTCTTTAGCACAGAAGCACAACAGACATTTGAGGGGCAGTGACTTGCTAAGGTGCTACGCTAGCTAGACTCATGAGACCTTACCTGTCTAAAACTGGTGTGGATGCAAATATTTTATAAGTTAAAACTGAGTAACATATAAACGCAGTGTTTTTGAACTGTCACCAGAAACTCGCTGGAAGCTCACAGGGAACCGGCATGAAATAACATTCAAATTTCAACTAATTTAACTTGACCAGTCAAGCTAAATCTCCTGAAAAATAATAGTACAAAACAAGACCAGTAAAACAAATCGCGTCGGTGCAAGTATAATGTTTTTACAGTAAATGAAAATTTCAAGGTAGCTGAGCATATTACTACAACGGTTATTACTACTACAGACAAAAATAAAACCCCATCTTCACAGGTAATAATTGGAAAGCAAAATACGGTTCTTAATTTAATCTTCTTTCAAGCTGCACTACAGTAGAATGGACATTTCAAACAAGTTAAAATCAACATTGATCCAGAGGGAAAGACTTTCTGCAAGGTAATCTGAAATGCGGTGTGGTTCCCAGTGCCTGCACAGTCATAGGTGGGCTTTGAAATGTCCATATGACCACGGATGATGCATTTCAGAATGCACAGTGGACCTAAGACTGTAGAGAAGGAACTGCAGACCAAAATCACTCAGCAAATCACACATTGCATTTTACATAAAACGTGTGATACTTTCTCCCGAGATCTTATTGATCTACTAGCTACGCATAAAGTAACATTATTTAAGTGCACCTTCTTCACTGAGAAAGAGATATACTTAGCAGAAGTTAGATTTTTCATATTTAGGGAAAGAGAATGTTTAGGTGCATATATACATACAGGCAGGAAAACAGAAAAGGGTGAAAAACAGAGGTTCTTTTATGGTCCAAAGCCTGTCACTAGGTGCATATATACATGCAGGCAGGAAAACAGAAAAGGGCGAAAACCAGAGGTTCTTTTATGGTCCAAAGCCTGTAAATGTTGTACATGCTTAACTTTACCTTCTGGAACAGTTCCAGTGATTTCAGTGAACCTGAAATAGTGCGCTAAAACCTACATTAAAATGCTTGCTGGGTCAGGGTATAATTCAAAGTCCCCTGGAGTCAATGGGAACCTTTTCATTGAATTTGATACACTCCAGCCATCCCTCCACCTACAACTGTACAAAATGCCTACTATGTACACATCGAAGTTACTACAAAGTGTTTTCTCTCAGGCAGACCTACATGTCCTTGCAGGAATTATTAGACTCAATTCTCCAAGTCAGCAATGATCTTGTATATTTAAGAAAAAGCAGTGACGTTTTACATCTCGATTTTTAGCTTTTCATCCCGCACCTTGTAAATAACCAGAATACTCCCAGTAACAGCTTCCTATATGGAATAGATTGACTGGATAGGCAAGACAGATGTGGGACCTGGCTGCTCCTCCTTGCAGTCGAGAAGTCAGAGTTTGGCTTTCAGCCAGAGTGTTGGCTCACAGGAGGCCAAACAACTACATTACGTTACATTTGGGATTCTGGTAAAACTGTGTCCAGTTTTGGGCCCCCTACAGACAACTACGTTACGTTACATTTGGGATTCTGGTAAAAGCTCAGGGCATCTCAAATCCAGAGAACTAACTGTATTTCCAGGCCTGAGTGACTGAGGTCGCTCACCACTTTGTAACACAACTAAATCTTACGAGGAGAGGCTGAGGGAACTGGGGTTGTTCAGTCTGGGGAAGAGGAGACTGAGGGGAGACCTTATTGCTCTCTACAACTACCTGAAAGGAGGGTGTAGAGAGATGGGGGTCGGGCGCTTTTCTCAAGTCACAGGCGACGGGACAAGAGGAAATGGCCTCAAGTTGCGCCAGGGGAGGTTCAGGCTAGATATTAGGAAAAATTTTTTCACTGAAAGGGTTCTCAGCCATTGGAATGGGCTGCCCAGGGAGGAGTCACCATCCCTGGAGGTGTTCAAAAGACGGGTTGATGTGGTGCTGGGAGGTATGGTTTAGTGATGATGCTCCTTGTTTGTTGTGTGGGTGTCTATTTTTGTCAGTTAGGTTGACGGTTGGACAAGATGATCTTTATGGTCCCTTCCAACCTAGAAGATTCTGTGATTCTGTGAAAAGCTCAGGGCATCTCAAATCCAGAGAACTAACTGTATTTCCAGGCCTGAGTGACTGAGGTCTCTCACCACTTTGTAACACAACTAAATGAACATGAGCATCAAATATTAATATCAATATGTTGACATAAGAGATTTCAGGATCGAATTCTATGATTCTATTCTATGTTAAATGAACATGAGCATCAAATATTAATATCAATATGTTGACATAAGAGATTTCAGGATCGTAACAGAGAACAAGGGGCACTTCAAAAATTCATGTTGAAAGCACCCAGCCAGTCGTACCCCAGGGTAACTCAGGACGTATATGGTAACAAACTATGGAATGTGTGTTCCTGTGTCACTTTAATCCTGTGTCCACATCACAAAAAACAGCATCGCAACTTGAACCTGACAGCAATAAATTGAGGACTGGAGAAGGACAAGGTGATTACATTCTTATTCCTTGAGGTAATTCTCACAGACAAGTAAGCAACTTCTAGGACAGAGAACTTTTCCAGTGACTGTGATGGATTATCCTCATTCCTCCTATAGTCAGAACTATTCATGGTAAGGTTTGTAATTTTGTCTTTTGTACGGCTGCAAGAAAGTAGGAAGGAACTTTCTGTGTCATGTTGCTGACTGTATCTTTTAAGTGAAGATGATGCTTTTGCAGTTTCCCAGTTGAAAGCACAAATAACTAGTTTTCAAACTATTTCAAACCATACCTTCATGGGAGTGAGCACAATTCTTTGCTTGTCATGGACTAGCAATAAAAAGACTCATTGACAAAAGACCTGTATACGTATATTGCGAGGTATATTCAACCAAAGGCACGTGGAATAACCAAAGTCATTCTCAACTTCATGCTAGAAACA